TCCTGCTTGAGTAAAAGCCAGAACTGTGACTGGAAATAGGTTCAGCTCTACACCCCTTCCACTTGGAGCCAACCCCAATGGGAATCTGAGGATAAAGTAAGAGTTAGGGCTGGGTCTAGGAGGGAATTTTCCTTCCAGAAGCACAAAGTACTTTCTGGGTGTTCTGGAGCCCACTAAAGGAACATGCAGTTAAGTGCTGAATTAAGTCTAGGCTCCTGCCACTGATAGAAACAGGGTCCCAAATATTACATTCTTTGTTTCTCAGTTGTCAGGAAGGGGTTAGATCAGCCTAAAGTTTGGAGCTCTTTAGAATATTTGTGATCTACATTTTACGTTAGAAATTCTGAAATCCTAAATGGCCAAGAGCATAGAGTAATTAGGAAAGTTAAATTTAAATCAAGATGCAGGTTATTTGGGCCCATCCAATAAAATTTGAGTAAGTTAAAATATGTTTTAAAATAAAATAATCAGTGTTGGCGAGGGCACAGTTGAACAGACCTTCTAGCACATTCCTGGTTTTACATTGGTGCCACCATTATGGGAAGTAATTTGTATATTCATGTCAAACCCCTTTAAAAAGTTCATCCTTCAGTGAGTATTTACTGGTGTCTATTCAGCCCTCGTTTCTGCCTATCTCCTTCTTAATACAGTTCAGGTCTTTGTTTGGATATCATCCTTCTCCAAGAAACCATTGATTTGCAATCGGGGAAGTTGATCCCCTCCCTACCTTCCTGGATGTCTATGATTGGCTTAAAACTAGTTGGAACATCCGAAGCGCTGGTCCACAGTGTTTGATTGGTGCATGGGTACAGGGTGTATATTCTAATAAGGGTGAATTCCAAGACTCTTGCTTGGAAATCTGAATCAAATAGCTTCTCTCACTCTGGCTGTGGCTGAGAACATTGATAGCCCTGTTTGTGGCTGGTAGCCATTCAAGTTTGAGTTTAATTTTCTGCTATTTGCCCCTTAAAATCTGCCAACTTTGACCCAGTAATTTCACTTCTAGGAATATTTCCTAACAAAATAATCATAAATTTATACAAAAAACCCTAAGTACACTATGATTTATAAGAGGAAAAAAAAAATAGGAAACAACCTACATAAATGTCCTCAAATGGGGGAAGGTTAAATAAATTATATTGTGCTCAAAGGAGGAAATTTTATGAAACTATTACAAATCATGTTTCTGAAGACTATTTAATGACCTTGGAAAATGCCCACAGTATAGCATAAAGTATAAAAAATAAGATGTAAAATTGGATTCACATAATGCGATCCCATTATCTTATTTACATATAGAGAGATTGGAAGGAAATACACCAGAATATTAACAGTTGTTTATGGGTTATTTTTACTACCCACTTTATAGGTTTTGAGCATTTAATTTTTTAAAATGTGCACATATCACTTTTATATAAGACAAAATTTGATAAACATGACCAATTTTTTTACAGCTTTGACCCTGGGACAGAGACCCCAAAGGGTGACAACATGCTCATTTTTAAAAATTTTGCTGAGGTATATATTCGAATCATGCATACCTCTACAGGCTATTATGATGAAACATTGTAAACTCTGCCACCCTTTATGTAGGCCAGGCATTTTATGGAGCTCAGCCCTGGAGAGAAATTAGGCTTAGGTAGAGCCAAGGCAAAATCTGTGACTCGACACAGTAGCAAATACTTCTCACCAGAAGAACAGAATTAGTGCCCTTCTTCTTCTTGGTGTCAGGCTGAATCTGAAGTTGTGTCTCCTGTTTCCGGACTCTCCCCTCATGATGCACAGGTTTAGAATTGTCACTGCATTTTGCAGATGGGAAACCAAAATGCTCTGGGAAGTGACTCACCCGTAGCCAGACTGTGATATAGCTGCAAAGAAACAGTTTAGAACCAGGGCCATCTGCCGCTCCGATTAGGGGCTCAGTGCCCAAGGTAGCTTATCTCTTGGAGCTATTTCCCACGGGCTGGTGTTGAGGGCAACACCCTCTACCTAGAAGGCCTGGCTCAGTGCAAGACATCTCCATTTAATCTCAACTGACTCAGAGTCTGAGGAATGTAGTCTCAGGGACGTCTGGTTGAGAAAACCATGGTAGGTGAGAGGGACACATGTCTATCTGCATTTACTTTCTCTCCACTATCTGCCTCCCCTCTGCATCCTGCTTTCTTCTGAAAGGGGAAAGGGAGGTCAGTGTTGTATAGTCATCAGAACATTTCCTCTGGAATCGGGTGGATTGATTTGAATCCGAGCACTGTCATGAATTTTCTGACTTCGGAAAAGATACTTCCCCTAAGTCTCAGTTTTCATATTTGTTTATTAGGGACAATAATCATACCTCACTCATAAGTTTGTGATAATGGGATACAATAATATGTGTAAGAGTTTATTACCTGGTGCATAATGAATGCACAATAAGTTGATCATTTATATGACTAGTAAGTGGTAGCTGGAATGGGTTTGTAAAATGGTGCAACTTCTTCCGAGAACCATTTGGTGAGTTCTAGTAAAGATGAGGACATACATACCCTGTGACCAAGAAGCTCTTCTCCTGGGCATATGCTTGCATAGGCATAAGAAGCAGATATAGAAATGTTCATATCAGAAACATTTGTATTCACAAGCTGAGAACAATTCACATTTTCATTCATCCAGGAGAATGAATGACTCAGTATGTAGTCATATAATTTCATATAATGAAATACCATAGATCAGCTAAGATAAGAGAGCTAAAGCTATACAGATCAACATAGATGAATCTCATGAATATAAAGCTGAGGAAAAATAGTGAAACAGTTGCCGAACACATACAGAATGCTGGGTTTTATAGATTTTAAACAACTATACATCCAGAAGGGATATGTATATATGTAAGGAAAGCATAAAAGAATGATAAACACCACATTAAGTAAAATGGCAAAGGCGATGGTGTGCAGGGGCCTCAATTCAGACGAGATCGGGCCCGTTCAGGGTGGTATGGCCGTAGACGGGGTGAGGGGGGGGCATCAATTCAATAGAATATTTTTTTTTCTTGCTAAATGGCAGGGGCATGGGGTAGTAGGCAGAATTCTAAGGGGGGATCCTCAAGACTCTCATCAAATTGGTGCCTGCACACCTCCTCCCAGTTATTCAATTAAATACTAATGGAGCTTCTGTTGTGAAAGGATTTTGCAGATGTAGTTAAAGTTCCAAACCAGTTGGCTTCAAGATGGGCCTTAAGATTATTCTAAATGGGCATAAAACAATCAGCTCAGCATTTTATAAGAGGAATGAGATTTGAAGCATAGGAAGGGTTTGACATGAGGGAGATTTTTTCCCCCTCCACTGGCTTGAAGATGGAAGGGACCATGTAGCAAAGAACCAAGAGTGACTCTGTGAGCTGAGGCTGGTCCCAATTGACAACCAGCAAAGAAACCTTGGTCCTCAACCATGAGGGTCTGAATTCTATAAATAACCTGAATTATCCTGGACAAGGAGCCAAACCACAGATGAGATGAATCATCGGTCTGGACTCTCCCTGGGTCTGAGTGTTGTAGGACCCTGGTCAGAGACCCTGCTACATTGGGCCTGGATGTCTTGCCTATAGAATTGCGAGCTAGTAAATGAGCATGGTTTTAAATTGCTATGTTTGTAGTGTTTTGTCATGCAATAATATAAAACTAATACACATAGGGACTTAATATTATTCTTTGTACAATTTCTGCCCACCTGAATATTTTATAATGCTTGTTAAAAGCAGCTGGAGTGGGTTGCCGAGCTCTGGGCCTGACCCAGAATTGGAAAACAATTAAAAAGAGCCTTTGTGTCTGGCACATAGTAAAAACCGGCTAAATGCTGAGTTACAGACAATGCTGGTC